GAGCACTCATTGAGGAGGGCACCCTGGTGAGCATTCATCGTGGCTCGGGTCCCGTGTCTGCCGAGGCAGAGTGGTGGCTGCGGTCATGGGGATCGCAAGTGGATCTGGTGGAGGGGTTGGAGAAGTGCATGTCCCTTTCCTCGCCCTCACCCACCAGATCAAGTGCTCCCTCTCAGGGATCGGAAGCATGCTCAGGTAGAGCAGGCACTTGCAAGCTATCTGTCTCCTGAGTCAGCATAGTCCCTCAAGGCCCCAGCATTACCCAGCAAGCCTCTTAGAACATCTCCTGCTTTGGTGGGTAAAGCGTATACGGCGGCAGGTCAGGCTGGTGCTTGCCTGCACACCATGGCGTTGTTGCAGGCTTCATAAACCGACCTGCTCAAGGATCCTGTTAAGGGCGAGGAGGTGAAGGTCAATGACATTAAATAACTGCATTGGGCTGCAGACTTGTCTCTCTGGGTCACCAAAAGACAGGTTCTGCTGGACACCCTGTCTGTTCGGCGACGCAGTTAATTCTGTCATCGACAGGTTTCAGGAGGCCAAGAAGTAGTCGGCGGCGTTCCAGCGGAAGAAGACGGATCTGAGGACTGTCATTCTCGCCAAGAAGGCTTCGGCCAAGAGGTCCTGATGCTTGTAGCGCTGGACTTCTGAGGTCAGGCCCCTCTGGGGAAGAGTGGTGTACACCTCATCATACAGTGCCTGCCTCTCCTCAGTGCCCTCAGGAGATCGGTCTTTAAACCCTGCCACCCTTGGTGCTTCAGGGAACAGCAGTCTCCAGCAAGCACAGGTCTCAGTGTCCACCCAGAAACATAGCAGTTCTGGGAGGCTCGCATCCTCCAAGGAGGTTATTAGAGCAGCCAGCTCGGTCGTTCCCTGCCGGTCATCTGCTTCAGGGCACCGAGTTGACTGCTCAAAGTACACTGGAGGTCAGTCTTGAGAGACTGGTTTCCTTAGTTGACCATCTGGTAGCGTGGAAACTTCTGCCAAACGTGTCTCAATGGGTCCTGCTGACTGTAGAATGAGGCTACAGAATCGCATTTGGTTCTCGTCCGCCTCGATTCCACAGAGTCATTCCCACTCTGGTTGGCCCCCGAGCAGGCTCTGGTAATGGAACCGGAATTAGACACTCTCCTGAGGAAGGAGGCCATTGAACACGCACCTCCTCTTGAGAGAGAGTTCGGGTCCTATAGCCGGTACTTCATTGTTCTGAAGAAGGATGGGGTTTGTGTCCTATTTTAGATCTTTGTCAGCTGAACCGCTCAGTCATGAGGCTCAGGTTAAAAATCCTGACGCTCAAACAGAACATGTCTCACATCAGAACTGGTTTGTCATGATAGATCTAAAGGACACATACTTTCATATTTACATCCTTCCTCAACACAGGAAGTTCTTGAGGTTTATTTTCAGGGGTGAAGCATACCAACATCGATTTCTTCCTTTCGGCCTAGCACTCTCACCTCGCACTTTCACCAAGTGCATGGATGCTGCTCTGGCTCCTATGCGACTCAAAGGCATCGCATACTCAATTATATCGATGATTGGTTGATATTCACTTATTCGGAGCAGATGGTGGTTCTGCATTGAGATGTCATCCTCACCCATATGAGAGAGCTGGGGTTAAGGCTGAACGCCAAGAAAAGTGTGCTTTCTCCAGTACAGAGAACCACTCACCTGGGCATGGTGTGGGATTCGACCACGAAGCAGGCACATCTGTCTCTGGGTAAAGCTAGGTCCAGTCACTCACTGTCAAACAGTTTCAGAGACTGTTGGGTTTGATGGCAGCTGCATCCAACGTGATACCTTTTGGCCTGCTATACATGAGACCCTTGCAGTGATGGCTCAGAATCAAGGGGTTTTCCCCGAGGGGCAACCTGCTTCACATGATCAAGGTCACGTGGCGATGCTTATGTGCCTTAGACATGTGGAGGAAACCTTGGTTTCTCTATCAAGGCCCGGTGTTGGTGGGTTCTTGGTGCGGCAACCATCAGCTGGACCCAGTCAACTGCCCAGTTGGTTCAGTGCTGCAGTTCCTGCAGGAACGTTTTTCGCAGGGTTAGCCCCCTCCACCCTGGAGGTGTACGTGGTGGCCATAGCTGCTTACCATGCCCCTCTGGATGGTCAGTCATTGGGAAGAAACCCATTGGTTACACGTTTTCCTCCGTGGTGCCTTGAGACTGAGGCCTGCTTCGCACACTAGAGTCCTGTCCTGGGATCTGGCCATGGTCTTAGAAGCTCTCTGTAAGCCTCCCTTTGAACCCCCGGAGGAGGTTCCGGAGAGGTTCCTCACAGTTAAGACTGTTTTCTTACTGGCCATCTCTTTCCTTGAGAGAGTTGGTGACCTTCAGGCCCTCTCTGTAGCCCCTTCCTTTCTGGTGTTTGCGCCTGGTATGGCTAAGGCATTCCTATACCTTAGGCCAGCATATGTGCCTAAGGTGCCTACCTTAGTTCCACGGCCCGTTGTGCTGCAGGCTTTCTGTCCTCCTCCCTTTAGGTACCTGGACCAGGAGAAGCATAATCTTGTTTGTCCAGTCAGGGCACTGGACACTTATGTCCACAGAGCTGCCCTGTCGAGGAAGTCTGAACAGTTATTAATTTGCTTTGGTCCGCCCAAGAGAGGTCTCTCGGCGACCAAGCAGACCTTAAGTCGGTGGATTGTGGATGCAATATCTTTGGCATATGAGTCAATGCATGACATCTGCAATGCTGCGGGCTGGTCCACCCCGCTTACTTTTGTCAGGTTTTACAACCTCGACATGGGAGGCACTCCTGGC